TTCTTCTGAGAGTGGATCATACCACGCTCATATCTGTGCATATGGAGCAAAGACAGAGAGTCAATCAGATAGACAGCAGGGGGAAACAGATTGCCAAAGTCTTCTTTAAAGCTTTCTAATGAACTAATAACGTATTTGTTTCATCCATACAGAAACAGAAGAAACAAGCGCTAGTTTATGGGGAGTTTGACAGTGGAACTTTTTATCTCCTGGCGCAGTTTGGAATAAAACTGTATATGTAAAGCTGTCAAATATTTGCCCTCCTTGAGAAAAGCTGATGAAGTCCATTAAAAGTTATCTGTGTAATTCTTTCAAATAAAACATAAATTACCAACTGAAAGTAAGGTTTTGCAGAGATTCAAATCTAGGCCCTTCCACAAAATATGTAAAAACAGATGGCTCACCGTCACACTTACTTTGTCTCCAATTATAGTATTATACCTGATACATTCATATTATACATTATGGCCAAGGACACTGTGCATTCTGTACTGTGTTTTTTCAGCACAATCTTTCTGTTGACACCCGGTTTGCACCAAGAAGTATGCTTGCTACGAGGATAAAAGTAGTATGTTTAATCAACAAAATATATATTTTTAAGCTAAAATGCCAAACATACCACAGCCCAGTCTTTAGGGGACATTACTGTGAGAACATTTGTTTGCTACCACTTTAAAATAATTGAAAATCTCACAACAAATTAAAAAATTGCTGCAAAGTCAGAAATGTTTCATTCAGAGACTAATGAGGAAAATATCAAGACTGCCAACAGCAGACATGATGCCACACCAATTAATACATCTGCTGATAAATTAACAGCAACACAGAAGAAGTCTTAGGAAATATGAAATCTGTCATCGTTTTGGAATCACGCAGATGTCCTCCTCTCTTGTTTGTCTGACCCTCAGTCAACACACACACTGAAAAAAGTGTGTGTCAAGATCACAAACAGCACATCAAATAAACAACTCTGACTAAGAGAAAGATCCAGCACAGAAATCTGACCCGGACAAAACTAAAAATGGTCATGGGCAAACATTATTTGTTAAGTGTATAGCATGTTGAGGACATGCTATACACTTAACAAATAATGGTTGCCCACTGGCTGAGAAAACGAGTTTTTGAAGTTAAACCGTCGTCTTCTGACTCCCATTATTGACAAAATAACCCTCCTCTTTCTCCTAAACTGAGCTTTTGAGGTGTTAGTTCTTATAAACTGTACCCAACCTGTCTCCCTCCCTTCCTCTATTGTTGGACGCGCTGTCGATGTCTGTGTTGAAGAAGATTCAGGTCTTTGATGTATCATTGTAGTCAGTGCTAAAATCACCGCTGTGCATGAAAGGAAACCCCTCGGGTCTCCAAAAGAGACGGCAGACTTGTTCTTTCTCTACCTATTCTCAGAGCCAGATACCCACGGAGGTGTTTAGAGTGAAATGAGGAAAACATGGCCGCATGTTTAACGGGGCTTTTGTGTTGCTCTGCTCCCCTTTATTTCCCTGTTTTCGATCAAAAGGAATTTCATTCTTGTCATTTTTTCCCCCCGTTGTTGCTGTTCAGAGCCCCTTTGTTACTACAACGGCTTGTTTGAAATATTTCTGAACGCCTTATCCTCTAAATGGATACTTTTACCTCTTGTTGTGCTTTCACAACCAACAATAGGACTGACAAATGGAGAAACATGACTGATTTTCCCGCACAACACAACTGCTATGATACTGGGGTATTGTCAATGTTGGCTTTTGTAGTGGCACTGTCAATTCTGTTATCTCGGTAGACATTTTGCTTTTATTGAACCCCTTTTAAATGTCTTTCCGTTCTTTGTTTTGCCTTTGTTTATGCGTCCACCTGAAGGCAGAGGAGTGACAGTTGCCAGTGGCTGTATTGAATTGTAAAGGAAATCTCACTAAGAAAAGCGCACATGTTAGCAAAAAGCAAGTAGGCTGTCCTTTACTACCAGTGGGATGCAAGCATTCATCATCTCAAACACAAGCTGTTGGAACGGGTGAGGGTGAGAGAAAACTGCCCTCTATTGGGAGCAACATGACACTGCAGGTAAGTGAAAAAGGGCAGACAAGAAAGCAAATAAGACAAGAGAAAAACAGACTGATTAAATAGGGAGTGAAGAGGCGTTGTACTTGTATTGTAGTGTTCAGCACTTACGCTCTGATTGTTTGCAGCTTCTTTGTAAAGCACGACACTCTGTTGCAGATAATTGATTGTAGACCATAAGCGTAAAGCACATAATCACTGCAGTCGCTGCCCCTGAGCCCAGCATGGTGTCAGGCAGCAGAGGAAAACCCACTGCGCCTCTGAAGCACTCTGAATCTCTGAAGAGAAAACGAGAACAATGGCTGGACTCGATCTTCAGAAAGCTATTGACCCAAAGCCAACAACTAAAAGTTACATCAAACATGCAGTATTTATTTAGAATTGAAAGCTTCAATATTTGTTGTTGGAGATATTTTTGCTCACAGCAGTTGCTCTGTTTTGATTTTGATTTTTTACTTTCATAAAAAGGAAATGGATTTCAAATTACCAAAATGAGCCTAGAAATGTGTAAACGGCATCCTGCATGAAAATATGATTTGAAATTGCAAACATAATGTTTCCTGTTATTCCAGTAATGTTGTCATCTGTCAACAAATGTTGCAGAAATATTTGACAATGGAAATATTTGGCTTTTTATTTTCACAATTTTGTCCCTAATCATTTTTACAGTTTTACACTTATTTAGAGATATGTATATAGTTGGGACTGTTTGGGAATGATGGGATGGTGAGTGTGGTAGAAATATCTATTGTCTTGCATTCTTTGCAGAAACATGTATGTAACGTCTTGATTGCATATTCAAAAACAATTTCTATTTAAAGGATAAGGCAGGAAATATGTTTTTATCAACACATTCCATTACACGAGGGATCCCATTAAAAGACCAAAACCAAATTGTGTAGGAGAGCCGGTTTAAAAACTTAAAATGCTGCTCGTGGTGCTCAGCCCCATGACCATTCGTTATTCTGAATATCTTTGAAAACAGGTCACATGTATACAGTATATAGAATTTCATTTAAAAAAAAAAAAAAAAAGGTTCTGTCTGTTAGCAGCAGTGCACAGTAGGTTTTAACAAGCATTGTTCACACAGGAGTTAATATTGCATTTGTCTGGGACTATTTTCAGCAGCGGATTAATACACATTTGGTGCACTAATGAGTATATAAAGCATCAGGGCGGTGTATGTTGAGATGCACCGTACAACGTTGGGTTTGACTTGTGTATTTTCTTTGACAATAATGGCGCTCCATGGAACAGTAAATTATTGTCAATATCATGGGATTTTATTGACAATAACAAAAATATCAACTCCCTCCACCTTTTTTCTTTTAGAAAAAGTTGTTTATTTGGGGGGATATAAGTGTTACAAATGTGTTTTAGGTAAAAATTGAGAAAAGCCACATGAACAATATCACAAATACAACCAACAACTGTGGTGCACCTGCTCTTTCTGTTTTTTTTTGTTCCCGGTTAGAGGGTTTTTTAGGGGGAAAGAGGTTCCTTATATATGCTGTCTGGACAGAGGGTGTTTTATACAGTCTGTAAACCCCCTGAGGAATATGCGTTATTTTGTGTATCGGGCTGGATAAATAAAATTGACTTGACCTGTATAATACCTGTGTTCGAACAGAATCATATAAGCACTCACTGCGGCCAGATAAACACCTATAATAAGCTTCGATTGCCCTCGAGCGAAACCTTCTCTGTGGCATTAAGAAACACATTTAGCAAAGTTCAAAACATTACCCACTGAAACAGAAGAGCTTTTCCGCTTGACCCATAATTGATGTCCAAGCTATTTTCATCCATGCTGGTTTTCAGCTTCCAAATCTGTTTTCCCTTCTACTTTTCAACCAGAGTGAGTCCTTTAAACCAGCACTTTGAAGTGAGGCTAGCATCTGAAGTTTGAACACATAAGGGGGAGTTGGGTGGGGGTTTTAAATAGAGGCTTGGCCAAAATATGTTTAAGGAAAACCTTGGATCTTACCCCCAACACCCCCCCCTTCCTCATGCTCAGTTTGGGCTCTCTCCAGGCTTGTTTTAATAGTGTGACAACTAAGCAACAAACATACTTCTCATGAGAGAAATGAATAAAATGATGATATACATTGAAAACAACTTTATACTAACTCAGAGGACACAAACAAATATGTATTGCCTTTACTTTACACAACATGTTTAAGTTCATGAGCTCATCCCACATCCCCCAAGTGCAAATTGTATTCTTTAAGACACCTTGCATATCTGTGTACGGTTGATAGAAAAGGTGTTGTGTGGCGTTATGACTGTGACAGAGAACACCTGAGGGAGAGGCAGCAGCTTGATCAAAGCCAGCGCTCAGCAAATCAAATACGTCAGGAGGATTTTATTTCGCATTCATTGTTTTTCTCTGCTTTGTTTGCATCTCCATCAGCTGAAATCATCCGCCTGGCCCTGGCAATCTCTGCAAGAGAAGCTCCATAGTAGGAAAATAGGAAAAAAATAAATTGCTTTTTTTGTAGTTAGTTCTGATGTGAGAATGACGGCACCGTGATTAGTTCCATATCAGATAGCCAGATGATGGATACGTTGACTAAAAGATAAAATATCCACATGCAGCATCTGCACAGCGTAATCATTGTGTATGAATAAAGATTTGTGTTTCTCTTTAAACCGGATTTAAAATGTACAATTCAGTCTCAGTCTTTATCCTGTTAATGGACAATAAAGACCATTTCCCTTCCAATCTTTCTCCTTCTCTTCATTCATAGTCAACTTTTTGTACTTTTCTCACACTATTCCATGGTTTCACTTTACTGCAACCTTCTCATCTCTTTTGTCTCCCCAGAACATTTCTTTGTCAGTCGTTCACTTATGCCAGCATGTGTCCTTCTTTATCTCCCGCCTCCTGCCACTCTCTCTTTATCTTAACCTGCTCCTGACACCCATCTTCTCCCCCCCCCCCCCTGCAGGGCGGAGACACCGGGCTACCAGCGGGTGCTGCAGGTTGACCTGGAGGTGAACGGGCTGGTGGTGACTCAGGGGGGACGGGAGGTGACGTGGCAGGTGGAGTACCCCCTCACCCGTACCGTGACCAGTGAGGTGCCGACTCTTATCCGCCTGGCATCGCAGGACCTGGGGGGCATCGTGCCGCTAGCCATGGTGAGCAGTGGGGGGTGAGCTGTGGGAGTTTGTGTGAATGCAACGTGGACGTATAAAGAGAAAGAGTGAGTATTTAATTACCGAATTATCTTTTTTTCTTTATCCTGCAAATGGATGACTAACGGGAGGGCTACCTCTGTATAAGCTATGCTTTCTGCCCTCCCGCTTCTACTAATTTTGTTTGTTTTTCGGATGTATAAATTGTCTAATTGTTGAAATAGTAGAATAAAGAAAATCGAAGAATTGGGTACAGAAATAGAGCTGGGGACCCTTTTGTTCCCAAGAAAGTTGCTCAGTGGTGCACAAAGCTAAATATCTTCTACTGATGGTGTACCTGGCTCTTACTCACAGGGCCTATAGAGAAGCTAATTATTACTTTTTTTATCACGGATTAATTCCCTGATAATATTCTTCCTTAATCAATTGATTGTTGCTGCCACAATAATGAAGAGCTCATTAAATCACCTTCACAATAATCATTTTCTCTATGCAATGAATAGTTAACACAACTACCTGGGCCTATAGAGAAAGTAAGTGAGTAAAAAGTAGTGTGTCCGTAGTAGAAAATAAGTATAAAGTCACATAAAACCTAAAGGAACCTCAATGTGTACTTCAGTATATCCACTGGATCTGCGGCAACATATCATCATAACAGATCAAACAAACAATATTATCTAAATATAACTTCAGTCAGGTTCTATAAAGCAAGTGAACATGGGAAGACCTCTCACCACATTGGTTTTGAAATATAACAATGACTATTAGATCAAAGCCAAGAGTTTCATGTGGTTTTTGAGGAGGTTCATGTCCTTATACTGTAGTAGCCCTATGACAATGATCCTAAGCAAAGAGACAAGGCAGCCAAGGATCATTTTCTGACCAAACACTGGAATGCTTTTGACTGGCGGAGTCAGATGTCCTAAATCCAACCAAGCATGTTTTTCACTTGCTGAAGGCGAGAAGGCAAAGAGCCAAAAGCAGAGCATCAGCGGAGAAGATACTGATGCCTTCTGACATCTAGGTGTCACACACGTCAAAACTCATTTAATGCAACTACGTATGTATACTGAACAAATGACTGTCCCTTTATGAGATTGAGAGACTTTAAACAAAGGCTTATAACTGAATGCTTATCATCTATTGAAGATATCATATACAGTTCTAATACTTTTGTAAGCAGGTAAAGCAGATAACCAACTTTAACACCCACAGTGCTGTGCTGTATATTTCCAAGGACTATAGATTTGCTGGTCACTAGGCAACGTGTCTTGCCACTAGTCGGAGAACAAATACATTTATAATGATTCCACTTAAAGTCTGCATTCTCCAAAAGAAAATCTCTTATTGTCTGGTTGTGAGCCTTTGACCTCCGCATTGCACAGTAAGGAACATATCCACTCTTTATTAATAGTGATAGAAGAAAGCATGGCAGAATTATTATTATAATACATTAGTCCCTTAAAAAGCCAAGCCCCGATATTTTTAACACAAAGCTTGCTCTTTTTAATTGCCAGTAATCTGGTTAACACTGCTCTCAGACTGTGCTGACTGAGAAGTTAATTGAGTTTGGATTTAGAAAGTCCAAACATGGGTGCATTGGCAAGTGGCTTAAAAATGCTAATTGTATTATTATAATGACAATGTAAATAGTTTTTCAGAAATGAAAGGGAAACCACTTAGTATGCTGCAAAGAGATAAGTAAAGTTTTAATTTTTCCTCACCGATAATGGCCACCTAAAAATCGAATGTCCTCGACCGCTATTTTAACTTTTATTATGACAATTTGAGTAGGCAGCAATTCACCTCTGACTGATGGTGTCTGGTCAGAAGAGCAGCCATTAAACTCTGACTACATCTTGAACTTTCAATGTTGTCAAAGTTGAATTGTTTTTCAATCAACAAAAAGACGAATAAGAAATGCAAACAACAAGGTTGCATTTGAAATGTCCTAAATGACATAAGATACTGTCAAAGTCCAAAATAAGATGGATAAACCATTCTGATAAAAACAATACAATGTGTATTGAGACAAAATTACAACCTCTGACATCACAACTTTATTGGAGTCATATATGAGTGTTAGACATGTAGAGAATGCTAAAGTAGCCCATACTGTAACTGACCGAGTAATGAAAGAAAAATAATTACATGACATTCATTACATGTCACTTGTTAGACGCTTTTATCCAAAGCCCCACAGGAGCAATTTGGGGTGGAGTGTCTTACCCAGGGACACTGATCCGAACACCAACGCACAACCCACTGCACCACACGCCTCACTAATTGTACAGCAATGTGACTCAGCAACAAACAAAGCTCCATTGCCAACAATCAGATTTGCTTTTGATTCTCACTCAGACAAACAGCTGTAAATGTGCGCTGATGATCGCTGAACATCACATTATCAAGAGAGATTGGAAAGGACTGGGCCACTTCTCTCATGGGGAATTAGACTGACAAAATGTTAGTTCAATTTAACAGGTTTTTTTTGCGTTGTTTCTATTTAATTCACGGAAACATTATAGAGTTTAACTTTATTTCTACATCATTTCTAAAGCAATACTTTTGAACCTAAAATAATTAGAATTGTATTCTCAAAATGCTAACTTGTGCTACTTTCTCTGTAGCAATGTATTTTTATCATTATAGTTTATTATCATGTTTTTACATTACTGTTTCATCACTCACCAAGTTCACTTTTCCCTCTAATAGTACACGTTTAAAGGCAAATGAGTCAGAGTCAACAAACAGTGTTATTACATTTGCTGTTATTTGACATTAATCTCCACCTTTGCAGCGGAACTGGTCGGCAGACACCTATCATTGCAGACACTCGTCTGCCTACAGAAAACCAGACACCTCAATTCAATAAAACTCTCATCTCCCTGTGATCCCTTCTGGACCTCACTCCCACTGAGAAGAACACACACACACACACACACACACACACACACACACACACACACACACACACACACACACACACACGCACACACACACACACACACACACACACACACTCTCTCTTTCACACTATCTGCCTGCCGAACAAAAAAGTACAGGTCTCTGCTTTCTTGACTTTACAGCTGCTGTAAACGGCCCTTTTAGTGTGACTGATTGAAGTATTCTGATCGCTCCAATGGAAAAACATTCTAAAAATGTTTGCAGCTTTAGATAGAAAATAAATGGTGAGATGTTTGCCCAATCTAGAGCGTACCACAAGGTTATTTCTTACCCTCAAGACATGAAGGCTCCTGACTGCATACAAGCAAGACATATTATCATTGGATATTCGTCCTGCAACAATGCACAGAGCCCTTTACTGACATTTCAAGTTGAATGCTCAATACGCCTTAGAAAATATCTATCTCAACACTTTTTAAAACTTACTTTAAAGTTGATTTTCTGGTTGAATTAAGTTTCAATTCTGTAAAAGGAAAAGAAGAATTATGGCTTTGGAACGAGGTGATTTCTCGTGTCCTCAGAGCAGTTCCTCTTGTTTCAGGAATATTTAATTAATCATTTTCTTTAAACAGAGCAAAATTAAATAGATGCACTAATAAGAGGAAATTACACTTTCATGTTGGAACATTCTTAAGTACATTAAGAAATTATTAATTGGTTGAAAATGAGTGCGTTTTTAGGATTCAAAAACAGATTCCTGGATTTTTTGCAATGACATTTTTTTCTCCAGTAGATCTTTAATAATAATAATAATAGATGTATTTTGTTAGCGCATTTACAGGTGCTCAAAGACGCTTTACAGATATAGTGAAAAGAAAGGAACAACAAATAAATATGAAAGCTTTAGCGCAAGTTCAATAAGGAAGACCTAACAATGAGTCACTTACACGTCACTCTATTGCTCTCTCCCCCCTCATTAAATGCGTGGGCGTCACCCCTCAGCAGCCAATCGCTGCACAGGCTAAATTCCTTAAATGCCTGCTCTTCCTTCCTGTCAGTTGTCATTTCAGGTGACCACACGCAACCCGCATCCACCCCTCTCGCCTCCCGTTTCCTCCAGGACAAAACTAAAACCTTCCTCCTTCAGACCGGTCCCACCTACTTATCACCACCACCAGTGTCTAGACCCCGGGGATTTCATCGGAGCGGTTCTTTCCCTCCTGAATGACTATCCTGCAAACCGGGGCCTAATCGCCAAAAACCATTCCATTCTCCTGTTGTATTATCATGGCAATCATTTCATTCATATGACGTGTAACAATAAATATGTATTCCATACATCACGTCTCTCCGGGTTGAAATATAGTTAAAGGTAAAGTCAAGAAACCTTAAAGAAACTTCCAGCGGTTTTATATTTCAGATAATAACATTGTCTCTAAAACATTTTTTAATTAAAAGATTTAATAGCCCCAAGATTTATGATCAAAAGTGTAAACTAAAGAAGAGAAATCAAGAGAAAGTTATTTTACTACGCCATTACTAAGATGTTGTGAACTCAAGTCATGAATGCCGTCACAAGCTTGAAAGAGAGAACATGAGAGAACATGAGAGAACATGCCAACGGAGAGTTTTAAGGCATATTCCCTTACATTTGATCGTGGTCTCTTGCCACGCTTGTGTCTCTCTTTGTGGCTCATTAGAGGAGACCGTTAGGCCCCCATAGCTCTTTACAGTACATCCCAAATGCTATCATTAGCATTGTATTCATAGCCTCTGAAAGAACTCCCTCCGTTTCAAACCCACTAACATTAACTTTGTTCTCACAGTCCCATGACATTATAATCAGGGCCATTAGCGGGAAGCTCAATTTATTAACTTTTTTTCTTTCTTTCGGTTACGGGTTAGCACCTTTTGTCTGCAATGATTAGGGTATAGGGTATGGCCCAAATTAAATGTTTCCCCGTATTGACTCACGTTTGACAGATAGTGATAAGCCGAGGCAGCAAGGACAACACACTTCTTGGTAAGAAGTTGTGTCCTCCGAGAGACAAACAAGTCAAAAAGAAAATACTCCTCATATCTGTACTTCACACACA